GGCCAAGTGACTGAAAAAGCAGGCGAAAAACGTATATATATATATATATAGATATGTGCATGAATGTCTATATGTGTATATATGTATATGTACTTGTACCCATATACATGCAAAGCCTTAAAGCTTTAATTCCTATGCGCCAGCAATTGGTCTCTAGTATGTAGCTCAGCCGTAGGCAACGACGAATGATTATCTGATTCGCAGTTAAATGACATTTTACTGACTCTCTCTCTCTCTCTCTCTCTCTCTCTGTCTCTCCCTATCTTTCTTTTTGTATTTCTCTTACACTTTAGTGCGCACACAAATCATTCAACCGCCGGTAGACACAACCGTGCTGCTTGGCCTAACCGCAACGCTGCAGTGCAAGGTGTCGAGCGATCCGAGCGTGCCGTACAACATCGACTGGTATCGCGAGGGCCAATCGACGCCCATTGTCAACTCGCAGCGCGTTGGCGTCCAGGCGGATGGCCAGCTGGAGATACAGGCGGTGCGGGCGAGCGATGTGGGCAGCTATGCGTGTGTGGTGACATCGCCCGGCGGCAATGAGACGCGCTCGGCAATGCTCAGTGTCATCGAGCTGCCGTTCCCGCCCAGCAACGTGAGGGTGGAGCGCCTGCCCGAGCCGCATCAGCGCAGCATCAATGTGTCCTGGACGCCGGGCTTCGATGGCAACAGTCCAATAGCCAAATTTATTATACAGCGTCGCGAGGTCTCCGAACTGGGTAAGTCCCATAATCTAAGCGTTCAGTCTACACTTTTTCTGTCTGGGTTAGCGTTACGTATGTATGTAGTTGTTGCCAAGGTTATGGATCTTTGTGGTATTGGCAATTGATTTATCAGACACACGCATATACACACACACACACACACACACATACAGAGACAGACGAACATACCAACTCACCGGCTGCTGTTTGAGCAGCTGATTTCGGCCCTGGGGCCGTGTATGTAATTAGAGAGAGAACATGTAAATCTCATCAGCAAATCAACAACAACAACAACAACTACAGCAAGAAATGGAACAACAATAACAACAATGAGAAATACATAACAGCAGAAAAACAAGAAAGAAAAAAAAACTACCTCGAATTCAATTTCGATTCTATTTACGACTGCCATTCAAAATGTGCTTGTCTCAACTATAGAGATGTTTTCTTTATTATTTCATGTTATTTATGTTATTTTAAATTTCCATTTGTTGTAGTTGTTAAGCTCGTCTAAGCTATCAGATTTAATTGATGCGCAAAGTATGCAACAGATTTTTAAATGCAAAGTCAAATCGAATTGCAGTCAAAAGGAAAAATAAAAGATTTTCTCTGATTTCTATTTGATTAAACATTTACAGTTTAGTGTCCTAACTTGCTTTCGGCAAATTAAACTAGATATGTATTTATCAAATATTTATTAAATTTTTAAAGCCTGCAAAGTACAGAGCTTAGGGGTAGAAAGCGAGTGTAGTAGTTGTAGTTGAGCTATCACAGACAGCGAGGATATTTGATAGATTTGAAGTCAAGAGTCGGTCGAGTAGAGGCTAAGGTTGATGGTATCTGAGGCGTTGCTTAAAACTAGATCCTTAAACTGCAGCAGGGTTGCCTTTGGGTGGACATATAGTCTGTTGAGATTAAGTTTAGCCACCCCGCAAATTCGGTGTCCGATGAATTCCTTGAGGTCTAGCAGGAAATGCCTCGACTTCTTGCTTGATGTGTCTGTTGAATATATACTTTTAAAAAATTATTAATATTGATTTTATAGTAAATATTCCATTATGAACTTTTTCCGTCCCATTACTCATACCAAGATCGGCTTGGGTCACATATAGTTAGAGAGAGATCTAGATAGATAGTTAGACCTTACACATTTTAGTTTATTATTAAATTTATCCTTATTGTGTTCTCTCTTTTCTTCCACTTGACAAAAAACATGCTGCGTGTGACGGATCAACATATTTAACAACTACATGACTAATATATTGTAAATATCTATATGTAATTAATATATTTTACTATAAATGTGATCTATTTATTGTATATTTTTTTTTGTTAATTTGCTAATTTTTATTTTTTATTTTTATTCACTTATCTCGCACATTAATTCGCACATTACAACACACACACACGCGTACACAATTGCACTTGAACACCAAACTAAATATACGTTAATCAACACCAACACACATTCATCATTCATCACTCATTACTCTTCGGTGATCACCCATGACTTAAACCTACACTTACTTACACATTATTCACCACTTATTACTTATCACTCATCACCCATTACTCATCACTCATCTTACTTCATCATCTTCCACATCTCACAACCTGACGATCGCACGTTCGGCCTCTCTCTCTCTCTCTCTCTCTCTCTCTCTCTCTCTCTTTCTGTTTCCTTTACTTTTGTTCTCTCTTCCTCTATCCTTTCACAATGACGTTTTTCAACACATTAACATCACAGAAAAATTCGTAGGTCCAGTACCTGATCCGCTCCTCAATTGGATCACCGAACTGACCAACGTTTCTGCCGATCAACGTTGGATCGTGCTGGATAATCTGAAAGCCGCCACCGTCTATCAGTTTCGGGTGAGCGCCGTCAATCGCGTCGGCGAGGGCTCACCCTCGGAGCCAAGCAACATCGTCGAGCTGCCCCAAGAAGGTAAGTGCGCCACTAATAGCCCCATTTAGGCTGCCTTTTATAGCTTTATTTGTATTGAACTTTGTCTCTTATTGTTTTTTGTTGCTTTGAATTTCTTTGCTATCGGCATTTCTTATGTTGTAATATATCCCTAATTCCTGAACTTCGACTCCAAGGTCTTATATCTTCCTCTTTCTTTAGTACTTATTTATTTTTTATTCAAATAGAGTTCTTACTTGTACTTCTTAGTATTTTGAACTCACAACTCTTCAAATAGATGAAGATTTATTCAAGTTCAGTTCCGTTTAGAGCTAAACTCCAATTATTTGGTTGGTTTCCATTATTGCTTTGACTTTACTCAATTGTCTTTCGTTTATTGACGAGTCTCCTGAGAGCACCCAATGTAGGGTTGCCCTCTGCACTCGTATATATCAATTTATTTTTTGTATCAGTATTGTATAGTGGCTAGAACTAATGCTGTATTACCCAATGTATGTATTGTACTTCTAACTGCTATCGTTGTCGTCAAACTGCATCGTCGTGATCGCCCGCTTTTGATGAACAAATGCGCGAATAGTGTTTCCACTTTTTCGAGGTATATAAATCAAAGAGAAAGAGATCTCTCTCTAACACTTACACACGTAAACATGTCTCAAACTGCACAACACCCACTGACTGGATCCATTTATATAGATCATTGAGTAATATTTTTTATTTCCTCAAAAATCTTCTCAGCTCCTTCGGGCCCGCCCGTTGGCTTTGTCGGCTCGGCCAGATCGATGTCGGAAATCATAACGCAATGGCAGCCGCCGCTCGAGGAGCATCGCAATGGCCAGATACTGGGCTACATATTGCGCTACCGTCTCTATGGCTACAACAATGTGCCTTGGTCGTATCAGAACATAACGAACGAGGCGCAACGCAATTTTCTCATACAGGAGCTGATCACCTGGAAGGATTATATAGTTCAGATCGCTGCGTACAATAATATGGGCGTGGGCGTCTACACCGAGGGCGCCAAGATCAAGACCAAGGAGGGCGTACCCGAGGCACCGCCCACCAATCTGCGTGTGCTCGCGCTGAACTCAACGGCTGTGCAGATTAGCTGGACCCCACCGAATCCCCAGCAGATCAACGGCATCAATCAGGGCTACAAGATCCAGGCGTGGCAACAGCATCTGATTGAGGGCGAGTATCAGGACTTGGAGAAGCGCATGATCACTGTGCCGCCCAGCTTGATCGATCCGCTAGCCGAGCAGACGGCTACGCTGAATGGCCTGGATAAGTACGCCAAATACAACATCACCGTGCTGTGCTTTACCGATCCCGGTGACGGTGTCATCAGCCAGAAGGTGTCTGTCATGACCAAAGAGGATGTGCCCGACGAGATAACTGCCCTGCATTTTGACGACATCTCCGATCGTTCCGTAACCGTCCTTTGGGCACCGCCCCGCCATGCCAATGGTGTGCTCACGGGCTATACGGTGCGCTATCAGATGCGCGATCGTCCGGAGACCATGAAGTCGATCAATCTCACTGCCGAGGATACGCAGCTCACGGTCAATCAGCTGCAGGCGACCACGCACTACTGGTTCGAGATCTGTGCGTGGACACGCATTGGCCGGGGCACGCCCAAGACGGCGACCATACAGTCGGGCGTGGAGCCAGTTCTGCCGCATGCGCCGACCAATCTGGCACTGTCCAACATTGAGGCGTTCTCTGTGGTGCTGCAGTTTACGCCCGGCTTCGATGGCAACTCGAGCATCACCAAATGGAAAGTGGAAGCCCAGACGGCACGCAACATGACCTGGTTCACCATATGCGAGATCAGTGATCCCGATGCGGAGACTCTCACGGTCACCGGCCTAATGCCCTTCACCCAGTACCGTTTGCGTCTGAGCGCCACCAATGTGGTGGGCAGCTCGCGTCCGTCGGAGCCCACCAAGGACTTCCAGACCATACAGGCGCGACCCATGCACGCACCGTACAATGTCACCGTGCGGGCCATGAGCGCCCAACAGCTGCGCGTGCGCTGGATACCGCTGCAGCAGACCGAGTGGTTCGGCAATCCGCGTGGCTACAACATCACCTACCGTCAAGTGGAGCACAAGGCGGGCACGATACGGCACCCACCGCGCAGCACGCTCATCGAGGATCATACGGCCAATTCGCATGTGCTCGACGGCCTGGAGGAATGGACTCTCTATGAGGTGCTAATCAATGCCTGCAACGATGTCGGCTGCTCGCGCGCCAGCAACGCGGCGGAGGAGCGTACTCGCGAGGCGACGCCCAGCTACGGTCCGCTAGAGGTCGAGGCGAACGCGACATCCTCAACCACGGTGGTGGTGCGCTGGGGTGAGGTGCCGCGCCAACATCGCAACGGACAAATCGAGGGCTACAAAGTGTTCTACGCAGCCACAGATCGAGTCGTACCGGTGCTGCACAAGACCATACCGAACAACAGTTCGTTCACCACCACGCTGACGGAGCTGAAGAAATATGTGGTCTATCATGTGCAAGTGCTGGCCTACACCAGATTGGGTGACGGTGCGTTGAGTACGCCACCGATACGTGTCCAGACCTTTGAGGATACGCCCGGAGCACCGTCGAATGTCAGCTTCCCGGATGTGACATTCTCAATGGCGCGCATCATTTGGGACGTGCCCGATGATCCGAATGGCGAGATACTCGCCTACCAGGTCACCTACACTCTGAACGGCAGCGCCAATCTGAACTATAGTCGCGAGTTCCCGCCCTCGGATCGCACATTCCGTGCCACCCAGTTGCTGCCCGAGCGCTACTACATCTTCAGTGTGACCGCCCAGACGCGCCTCGGCTGGGGCAAGACAGCCTCCGTGCTGGTGTACACCACCAACAACAGGGATCGTCCGCAGGCGCCGTCAGTGCCGCAGGTTTCGCGCAGCCAGATTCAGGCTCATCAGATCACCTTCAGCTGGACACCGGGTAGAGATGGTTTCGCACCGTTGCGCTACTATACGGTGCAGATGCGCGAGAACGAGGGTCCGTGGCAGCCACTGCCGGAGCGCGTCGATCCTTTGGTCAGCTCGTACACGGCTGTTGGACTGAAACCCTATACCACCTACCAGTTCCGGATTCAGGCAACCAACGATCTGGGCCCCTCGGCGTTCAGTCGCGAGAGTATTGTGGTGCGCACCCTGCCCGCTGCCCCCGCAGTTGGTGTCGGCGGCTTGAAGGTGGTGCCCATTACGACGACCTCGGTGCGCGTTCACTGGAGCGCACTGGAGACGGGCATGTGGAACGGAGATGCAGCCACTGGCGGCTATCGCATATTGTATCAACAGCTCTCAGACTTCCCCACTGCCCTGCAGTCGACCCCGAAGACGGATGTCATGGGCATCAATGTGAACAGCGTGGTGCTCTCCGACTTGACCCAGGATCGCAATTATGAAATCGTCGTCTTGCCGTTTAACTCCCAGGGACCGGGTCCGGCTACCCCGCCAGCTGCTGTCTACGTCGGCGAGGCGGTGCCCACTGGGGAGCCGCGTGCCGTGGATGCAGCCGCCATATCCAGCACTGAGGTGCGCCTGCGCTGGAAGCCACCAAAGCAGAGCATGCAGAACGGCGACATCTTGGGCTACAAGATCTTCTACCTGGTCACGTATTCACCGCAGGCACTCGAGCCCGGCCGCAAGTGGGAGGAGGAGATCGAAGTTGTCTCGGCCACGGCCACATCGCACAGTCTTGTTTTTCTCGACAAATACACCGAATACCGCATCCAGCTGCTGGCCTTCAATCCCGCCGGCGATGGACCACGTTCCGCTCCCGTCACGGTCAAAACGTTGCAGGGTGTTCCCAGTGCTCCGCTCAACTTACGCTTCTCGGACATCACCATGCAGAGCCTGGAGGTTAGCTGGGATCCGCCCAAGTTCCTCAATGGCGAAATCCTGGGCTATCTGGTCACCTACGAGACCACCGAGGAGAATGAGAGTAAGCGACAAGTCAACTGAAACTAGGCCAATTCACTCACCTCATCCATCATCTCGTTCACAGAGTTTAGCAAGCAGGTGAAACAGAAGGTATCGAACACCACGCTACGAGTTCAAAATCTAGAGGAGGAGGTCACCTATACGTTCACTGTGCGCGCCCAGACGATTGACTACGGTCCGGCGGTTAGTGAGAATGTGACCACCGGCCCACAGGACGGCTCACCCGTAGCACCACGCGATCTCATACTCAGCAAGACGCTGTCCAGCGTCGAAATGCATTGGATTAATGGGCCGTCCGGTCGTGGACCCATACTTGGTTACCTCATCGAGGCCAAGAAACGTGGTAAGTCGTAGTATTCACCCAAAATGCCCAATATTTATACGGTTCTGGTTCCCTCTCGCTCTTTACTTTAACTCTCTTGATTTCTATTTTGCAATAACCTTTGGTGAACTGTTTCCAAACGAAAACAAACAACTATCTTTAAAACCAATTTCCAATATGCTTGCGTAGAAAAAGGAGAACCGTCGTTCATATGTAAGTATTTCTCATTACTAATTCTGCTACTCTTCTACACTCCACGGCATGAAATCCTACTAAAATTACTAAAATTACAAATATTAAGAGCCTTAGCTAGAGCAACCTATTGATGGACTTGTCTAAATATTAGTTTCTCAACTCACAGACGACTCGCGCTGGACAAAGATCGAGCAGACAAAGAAGGGTCCTATGCAAGACTATACCGTTAGCTATCATATACTAATGCCATCGACCGCTTACACATTCCGTGTGATCGCCTATAACCGTTACGGCATCTCGTTTCCGGCCTACTGCAAGGACTCGATACTGACACCATCGAAGCTGCATCTGGAGTATGGCTACTTGCAGCACAAGCCCTTCTACAGGCAGACTTGGTTCATGGTCTCGCTGGCGGCCACATCGATAGTCATCATTGTGATGGTCATTGCCGTGCTCTGCGTGAAGAGCAAGAGCTACAAGTACAAGCGTAAGTGAAGTGAACTTAATCTCGAGTCTCTTGCATCTCAATTAATCCTGGTTGTGTTTGATGCGACGCAGAGGAGGCACAGAAGACACTGGAGGAGTCCATGGCCATGTCGATTGATGAGCGCCAGGAGCTGGCACTGGAGCTATATCGTTCGCGTCACGGCGTCGGCACTGGCACCCTGAACAGCGTGGGCACCCTTCGCAGCGGCACCTTGGGCACTCTCGGCCGCAAGTCAACCAATCGGCCACCCACTAGTGCCCAATTGGGCAAAAGTCCCCCCAGGCCCTCGCCTGCCTCGGTGGCCTATCACAGTGACGAGGAGAGTCTGAAGTGCTACGACGAGAATCCCGATGACAGCAGCGTAACCGAGAAGCCATCCGAAGTGAGCAGCTCCGAGGCCTCGCAGGTAAGTGCTGATTGAGTGGAATCAATCGGGCTTAGGGCAGGCACTGATCCGAGCTTTTCCATTGCAGCACTCGGAGAGCGAGAATGAGAGCGTGCGCAGCGATCCGCATTCGTTCGTTAATCATTATGCCAATGTCAATGACTCGCTGCGACAGTCGTGGAAGAAGACCAAGCCGGTGCGCAACTACTCCAGCTACACTGACTCCGAGCCAGAGGGCAGCGCCGTAATGAGCCTCAATGGCGGCCAGATCATCGTCAATAACATGGCCCGATCGCGGGCTCCATTGCCCGGCTTCTCGTCATTTGTTTGACAATCAACTGAGTTCTAAGATCTAAGCAACAGCAGCAGCAACACCGTCATCAGGGAGACCTTTGTGTAAGCATGCCCCCAGAAGCGCACGGACATCGGAGATCGTCGTAGTTCCCCGACTGCAAGGAGACCGCAAGGAATTTTGCTTGCCTGTGTCTGTCAGTGTGTGCGTGTGACGTGGGGCGTGTGTGATGGGTGTTTAGCTGTTGCTTGTGCTACATGGACAATTCGTTGTAGTTATATTTTATCTATATACTATATACGTATAATTTATAGTTTCTAGTACGAGAGATCTGAGATTTATACAAGCATTTAGTTTTACAACAATGTTCCACTGACCCAGACCCAACTAATTTTAATATTAATTTTTTTTT